TTTCCAGCTGTTTCAGGGCTTTCCAGCTGTTTCAGGGCTTTCCAGCTGTTTCAGGGCTTTCCAGCTGTTTCTGGACTTCCCAGCTGTTTCAGGGCTTTCCAGTTGTTCCAGGGCTTTCCAGCTGGTTCCAAAATTCCAAGGTGTTTCAGGGCTTTCCCGCTGTTTCAGGACTTTCCAGCTGTTTCAGGACTTCCCAGTTGTTTCAGGACTTTTTGGGAAATCGGCGAAATTTTCGAGCAAAAATTTTTTGACGAAAAAAATGAATTCTCGATTTTGCCAACAGGTACGAGAGTGACGGTTACAGAAAAAAAATTTAAAAGTTAATTTTTGATTTTGACAGCAAGTACGAGAGCTGGACACTTTAGGAATCCAATTTTAACCGGAAAAAATGGTCTCTTAAAACTAAGGGAATGATTTGGAGAGGAAAAGGAAGGTAAAAAATGATAAGAGCACAGAATTCTTTGAAATTATATCATTTATTGCCATAGATTTACATTATACAAAGCTTTAGTATATATATATCATGTCAGAAGTTGTTAACAAAGGCTAACAGTGGTTAGCAGTGGTCAGCAGAGGTCAGCAGAGGGATGCAGAGGCATGCAGAGACCAGCAGGAGCAAGCAGTAACACGTAGTAATCGTTGTACGTTGTTAGAAGCATTGGAGTGGTCAGCAGCGGCCAGCAGAGGCCAGCAGAGGCCAGCAGAAGTCAGTAGGAATCGGTATACGTTGTCAGAAATATAAGCGGTGGTCAGCAGAGTCCAGCAGAGGTTGGGAGAGGCTGACAGTAGCCAGTCGTAATCGTTATACGTTGTTAGAAGTATGAGGAGAGGTCAGCAGCGGTCAGCAGAGGCCAGCAGAGGCCAGCAGAAGTCAGTAGGAATCGGTATACGTTGTCAGAAATATAAGCGGTGGTCAGCAGGGGCCAGCAGAGGCCAGCAGAGGCAGGCAGACGTCAGTAGTATCGTTATACGCTGTCAGAAATATCAGGAGTGGTCATCAGTCATCAGCAGAGGCCTCTAGAGCAATTGAAAAGTACATGTTACTTTGTGATGGACTATCATAAAATATAAAAGATCGAAAAATTGTCAGTTTCATTTAACATTTTCATATAATTGGTACCTTCGTTAGGAGAAGTCAAATGTGAGTCTTCCTGAGGAACCTTCCATGTTGTGTTGTCAACAGTTGTCAGGAGTCGTGTGCTGTTGTTAGCAGTGGTCAGCAGAGTCCAGTAGAGACCAGCAGAGGCACGCAGATACCAGTAGAGGCATGCAGGGAACAGTGCAGGCGAACAGTGACTAACAGTAGTCAGTAGCAATCGTTATACGTTGTCAGAAATATTAGCTGTGGTCAGCTGTGGTCAGCAGAGGCCAGCAGGGGTTCTCAAAGGCCAGCAGAGGCGAGTGGAAGCCAGTAGAGTCAGTAGTAATGGCCGCTTTAACAGCAGTTTCTGAACTGATGGTTACGATCGTCGGTGAATGCAATAGGAATTACAACACAGATCGAATCGATTGCTGTTAAAGAGCAGGGGAAAATCATTCATCTTTTTACTGCTCGAAATAAATATTCTGAATTGTTTTACGAGCCAACGTTCACCGTGTTACCTTGTACTATTTGAAGTAACCGAGGAGAGAAATATGGAATTTCAATATTACGCAAGAAACCTTTCGTAGTTGTCTAAATTTGGAGATCTCTCATCAAATAAAATTCACTCCAAGTATTAACTTATTAAAGTTCCACTCCCGATCCTTGGACGTCTAAACTATGACAGATGTAACGAAAAGGATGATTCTGCGATGAAAAATTCTCAGAAAATAATAAGTAAAGAAAGATTCAAGCTATAGAAAATCCAATTAACTGGTTAACGCGTTTAGGCTTTAATCCACTCTGTGTTTAGTTATTTAATAATGATCCATTACACTTTCGATTATGATTTGCAAACTTAAAATTTGAAGTTTTACTTTTATTCCAAGTAATTTTTTCGTTACGTTTTAATTAGGGGAAAAGCATTGCTCGATCATGGTCTTTTCGCGCGGTTCAGTCGCGTTAAGTTATAAAATTCTCACGGGAAATTGAAGCAGGTCTGCGGAAAATGCCGCCCTTTTCGCAGCTGGCCGTTTCGAGCGCAGCCAGGCGGGAAGCTCGCAGGGCCTCGTAAGGACATCGAGCTCTCCCCCGTGATCCTGCGTGCAATTATGGCAACGCTAACGAACGAACTCGCCCGGTATGCACAGGAAACGGCGTATTAGTTTTGTACGCGCTGCCCAGAAATCACCGTCCCCTCTTTCTCCGGCTGCATAAAAAGTCTTCTCACCATTGTTCGCCGTGCATTAATTGCGGCGATCCGAGAACTCCTTCGGTGCCTTGTATCTCGTTACCCGTACGAGAGTTTTCTCGACTGTCATGCTTTGCTTCAATTTCAGCGGATATCTGCGCAACCGCTAATGAAAATTAATTATCGCGAAATGCAAATCGCGTACTTTTGCTCGGGCCTCGACACGGCTATTAGACTTACTTCGTTTCGACGCGTGTTTCTTGCAAGAGGAGGAATTGAAACAGTGTTCTTTCGTTTTAAAATCACTTCGGAAAGTGTCAAGAATTATTCTTTGATTCAAATAAGGATGTTTATGAAGCGAACACGACGAAGCGAAAGGTTAAGCGAGACGCTCGCGGTGCTAACGAACGTACAGTGGCTGAATTCAGCCGAAGCATCGGTTTGCTCAGCAATTAGCCGGCCTAGCCGAGTGGAATTCACGGATGGTTCGTGTTTGACGCGAACGAGCCGCGGCCGTGTATCGTTCTAGACCGGTAGCCGGTTCCTTTTTTGCGTTTTCGTGGACGTCGCGACGAAGAGCGACGCGGAGGAGCCGCGGGAGGGACACGGATAGGAAAAAAAGTCGTTTCGAGAAGCGCCTGTCAGGTTCAACGGCCGGGATTTTTCGCGTCTCGAGACGATGGCTTCGAAGAAGACGAAGTACGACGCCTCCGAGTGGCCCTGAAGACGCGAGACTTCGCGGAAGTCACGGTCGTCCCGGGATTTTCTTTATTTACCCTCCGAGACCAATCGTAAGATCTGAGGATTCGCTCTTAAACCAAACCTCCATGTTCGATCGTTTGGTAAAGCTTCCACTTTGGTACACTCTTCTTCAAAATGGCACTTGGGTGATCGAATAGAGGGTGGATATTATTATTTGTACGATCGTACGCGACAGATGATCACTAAATGCGTTTGTTAAGATACTGTAATCGCGAGATCATCGGACTCTGGATCGTCAGTGGCCGAGCAGGTCAAACGAACTGGAACCGTTTCATTGACTTTCGAATCCTTTGGCCATCTGTGCAGAACAAACTCGCCGCTAAAAATCATCTCATCTATCTACGATCTCGTAATGATCGCTCTGTACCGTTATTCTCGGTCAAGGTTCTTCGTGAGATCGAATTGGAATATCTCGATTGCCGCGGCGAGCAATCTTCCCGTCGTCCCCCCTCGTACCCCGCCTTCCTTTCTCCGTACCCGCGTCAGTAAACAACGATTTAGGAACTCGACGTCGTGATTACCGATGGAGAGCTCTCGACGATGTTAATTATCTTCGCCGGGCAACGCGTTCTTAGAACACGGTATCGAAAACTGTACTGCGGATTTATAACGCACGGAAGATTTCAACGTGCCGCCTCGACGATCCAGATTGATGGATCTCGAGGAAACTCGAACATTACATCTCATTGTTATACTCGGCGAATTTCATTTCTCTTTTCGTTCGATTATTTTTAATTTCGAACTCTTATAATATTTTTATGAGGGGGCGTGTTCACTGAAAATTCAGTTTAATAAATCCAGCTGTAAACTCTCATTTTACAAATTCGGGGTACGACTATGCATTCATTGGAGACGTTTTTAACACTAGATTTGACGGATGTCAGATTCCATATTTAAAATTGCAGAACCCGTGAATATTATTTTTTAACAATTTATGTTGTATTTGTTTGATGCAATGGCGTGAATATATATTTTAATTAAAAGAAAAATCGTATTTTAAGATAATCGTCAACATGAAAGGTATCAATAAATATAAGTGTGATGAATGCCCGTAAATCTAGTGTTAAACATTAAAATCGTCAAGTTTCTTTCCACGATAGAGATTGTTATTCGTTGGTTGCTCGAAATTAGTAGCTGGCGAAGAATTTCGTCCATCGTCCGGACAAAGAAGCCCGTCGTGTCGAGTAGAAACGATCGTGTGAGGTCGCGGCACACGCTCGAGGGATACGAACGAGCGAATAGGTTGAGGGTCGTGAGTGGACGTTGACCCTACGTGTGTACCTCGCGTACCGGAGTGGCGAGTATAGCTACGACCACCTAGGACAGACTAGAATCCACATTGGTAATAGCTTCTCTAGTCTGCCGACCTTCCACTCGTAAAAACAAATATTTATGAACACCGCACACCGTCGGCGAAAGAAGCGCGTCGCGAGCCCTTGAGCATCGAGAGAGGAGGGACAGGTGCGGATTGTTAATTGGTCGCTGAACCGGGTATCATTTTGCCTACATTTTACCTACCTCGACTTAACCCCTGAAATTTATTAGGTAGCAAACCGTAACGGGAATTCTGCCCACAAAATTATTCGCTTCCGCCAGCGTACGCGACAAAAAGATATATTCATATTCTAAAATAAAATGTTTTATCAAACATCCTCGGGGATTGAAGAGGAAATGCAGACCTCGTGTACCATAAAGTGTAATTGACAATTACCACCGCCTTGATTTGCCCCTGATGGACGTTTAGCTGTCTCTGCATCGGAGTGGATAATTTAATCCTCCAGGGAAACGGTCGAAGCCTTGGGAGAGTCAATCTCGTCCCTGACGTTTGAATAATATTTTTCTTATCCGCTTGCATTCCCGTTTCGTCGCGCTTTTAGCGCGTCGCGCGGATCATTATCGTCGCCGCGACTTCATCGTCTCGGTGATAAAAGTCTTCTCACGGGTTGCGTCATCTCTCTGTTGCAGTACCCGGCTGGCGCGTCCAGCGAACTTCTGCCAGAAGACAGAGGGACGAATTACGCGGCCCCGGGAACCCTGCCGCCGAACGCGGAACAGATTTCCGCTGCCTCCAAGGACCTCCTGAAACGACTGCTGCAACCGGAGCCCTGTCTACGGCTCAGATCTCTGCTGGGCCTGCAGAGGATCGCCTTCTACATGGGCTACGATCTCCAGAGCTACATGCTGAAGAAGGTGAACCTCCCATTAGAAGAGCTAGCTTTGTTGTACAAATCTTTTTACGAAAGACGAGGGACCAAAGTCACCATTGCTTGCAGACTCACATTTATCGTGTTCGAGACATACTCGCTAGTTTCTCAATCATGCTATGTTAATTTTTGAACTTTCAATTTTCTTGGACAATACTAAACCTCGACTATTGCACCAGAACCACGCCCCATTGCATACTCTTAACAAGTAAAAGAGAAGAACTAAAATTTACGTGTATGGAACTATTAATTCAACTAGTTGCCATGATTATTGCAACAATAATCGAGGTTTTATCGTGATATTTCCCTCAGGAATCGCCGTTTCGACTGCTGAATCGAACCGTGCAAAGTCATCAGGGGAGGATGAACAGGGAGTTCTCCAATTTCGACTCGTCCTTGGGCGACAGCATCTCTCGCTCCGAGGATCGATGATATGTAGTTTAGCCTCTAGCATTCTCAGCCATCGCCGGATCAACGACTGAGATCAACAGATCGAACGATTCCAGAATATCCATTTTAGCTATGTATGTCCAGCTCTGTTGCTTGACGAGCAACGTCGCCGATGCCATCCATTAGTTTAAGCGACGAGGAGTCCTCCTCGTGTTTGCGCAAGGTTTAAAATTAGTTTCAACGACCAGTTAGATTTTTCTATTTCCGCGGCACGAACAGATATTTTTTTACTTCGTACCCCGTCGCGAGTACGCGAATCGCTATGCAAACGGTGCTGTTGCGATTTATTCAGCGGCTTTCGCGTTCAAAGACGAATCGCGAAGCTTTTGTGTCGCCGAGCATTGAAACATGTCTTTCCTCTCAATGTGTGCTTCGAAGTGTGGGATGCGTATGTATTCGACTAAATGTTGTTCTATAATAAATAAATCTATGTGGTTGTTGCTCTGAGTGGGCGTGAATTTTTTACTTGTACCCAGATTCTTCGTTCCATCTTCTTTGAGGCGCAACCAAGTATCGATGGAAGAATATTTTTGTTTTAATTTGTATATTTATTTTATTTTAGTATTTTGAAATCAATTATTGGGTGGAAATATTCTAGTTATGTATTGGGAATATTTTCAAGGCAACGTAGAAATATTGCCACAATATTTACGAGGTAAGTTGCTAATTAAAAGTGCAATGAAAACGTTATCGAGACTAGGACACATTTCATAACGATGGTGTTGTCTCCGGTGTCTCTTCTTAATCGCAACGAGATCTAAAAAGTAGGAGTTGTATTTTAGAATTAGATAACAGACGGTTGGTCTCAGTTTACAAAAGTTTTAATTTCTTTAAGAATAGTTAACAGTATTTTTGTTACAGTATTTCATCGATAATACAATAAATTGCGATAAATCGTAGTGCGTACAAACTAACAACAAAAAAAAAGAAAACAGAACGGATCTGAATCGAAAAACGCAGCGTCTTTTTTCGGTGTATTACATTTTGTTTTCATCAAAATCAATGCGAGAACAGTTTACTTTTTTTCCCCATTCGTCTCTTTAGCGTTCGTCCACGAATATATTACCATCGGATTTGTCGCTTCGTGTCCTCGTTCGTCTTCGTGCGTTACAATTTTCGTTCGATCTTTTCTTCGTTTTCGCTCTCGTACGAGTGGCGTGGGGGGGAGGGCAGCTCCATTCTGCTGGAACGCGATCAATCGAAGTTTATCGGTATAATAATTATATATACATTATTATTCTTACACTTAGAGGGTTTCTCGATTTCGATATATAATACAACGCGTTTCTCCCCAAATTACGTCCCGAACGACGCGTCCGCGACCGATCGCTGGTCGAACGTTCCCGTTCACCGCTGCATCGAGAAAACAACGTAACAAATTTCCAAACTATGTATAAATATTACCTAAGAACAATAAATAAATTCTCTCGCCCGGGCCTCGAGACGCGAATGGATCGCGATCGTTTTAAAACAGACGGAATCGAAAGTATTCCCGCGCCGTAAAATTCCCAATTAAAATCTGACAAACAATTTCAGAGATCACGATCAACAATGTGATAAAAAAGAAGAAGGCACGCGGACGTCGGGCGTCGCCAGCGATCGTTCGCGAAATCGCGTCCCGCGTTTGCTAAATTCGTCCATTCGCGATTTTTGTCGACGAGTCGCCTGATCAACAACCGGCACGAAGCACAGGCAGTCATGGGCCTGTACGTGCTTCCGCTTCGTTTACAAAACACAACGAAATTTAATTATTTACGTCTAATCGACTGCTTCCGCTCCGCGACTCCCGCGGAGCCGTTTTGGTAAAAATCTGTCGGGCCGGCGCCCTGGGGCCGCGAGCCTCGCGCTATTTCTCCACTCTCGCCATTATTTTAATATCCCTAGCTTGGATAGCGAGAACACGAAACGCCAAGGTAAGGGAATCGCGAGACACGGCGACCAGGACGCCCTGAAAAGCCCTTTTCTCGCGTTGCATCCTTTAGTGACGCAGCCATCACTAATATCAGTCGACGTACATCTCCCTTAAATTACAAGTTACCTTATTGTTGTTGCTGTCGTTATTGTTTATAATAGCGCTATCGTAAGATATTATGATACAAGTAGAATCGTCCGTTTGCACGGACAGTGACAATTTCTTTTTACAGTCTGACTTTTTACTGTGCTCGATCCTCGCCGTTCCACGAATCGCGATTGAGCCGTGCAAACACCATGATTCGTAGATTTGTTCGCTGTATCTATTCACTGTACCTTCGTACAGTCTTAATATCAAATATCAAGAAGAGGATCTTTATTTATTTAAGCTGTTCTCTGATTTCAAAATTTTATTCGTATTGTTTCATTGTACGATTCAGATTGTAGTTTTTAAGGAATACATCTTTCACTGGCAAGTATTTCGCCCATATTTGTGGTGTAAACGATACATAGAAACGAACTTAGAATTTTCATTTAATTTTATCGACTCGGCTCATTCGATAGAAACGAAACAATCTGTTACACTTTTTCGAACAAATCTGCGAGTCATAACGCTCGTCTGCACAGGACGCTGCATGTCCAACGAACTCTTCAACCACGCATCGAAGTCACCAGAGTCGCGCCCACGTTTCCAATTTTATTGCATGAAAACTAACCGCGTCGTCGATCCAAACTCTTTGTCGTATAGATCTACGATTCGTCCCACAGTTGTCTCAAAATTTCTAGCTTCGTATCTCGACGATTGACCAGAGATTTCTTTACCGAACTTTGAAAAGTAGCGACAGGATAGACGGGAGGTTCGAGGTTTGCACGAACGCGATCGTGGATCGTCCACGGGAGCGATCGATGCACAGAGACGCAATCAGCGCTGACAATAAATTGGAAAATATCCAACGAATTGCGTCCCGCCCCGGTGCGCGTATCTTCTGCATTTTTTATTTTGTTCATCTCATTTGTACACAAAATACCAACTATCTGTGCTGGAAAACGCACATACTGCTTGTACGCCTCGATATAATAATATATATATAATATATATATATCTATGTATATATGTATAATATTTATATATGTATATGGTGTATCGTTTGTTTTGCGTTAGGGCGCCAGTTTACCTAAAAATCAATATTTATAAGTATTCCTTCGTTCTGCCATGCGTAATATCGTAGCGCGTAGCGTGGATCTCTCTATTGCGGTGTTTTACAATTTACGCCTATCGCATTCAATTAATATTTACAGTCGTTCGTATTATTTAGTCGTATGTTTCGTGTGCCGTGCGTCTGGGCTCGAGAGCGGGCCCCCGCGCGGCGTAAAAGGATGATCTCGAAAATAGAAAAAGACAGAAAAGAAAAAAGGGAAAAGAAACAGAAAAATAAAATACATGGGAAAACTCCAAAAGAATCCCGCGCTGGGGATTCTTCTCGGTCTTTTCCCACCCCTCCGCTCTTGTTTTATTTCTCTCTCTTTTTTTCGCGTTTCCCACAACGCCTGAGAACCATTATTCTCCGTCGATCTCGTTGCCCATCCAGCTTTTCTCGCAATTTTCTTTCTTCTCTCCCGCAAAAATCATTCACACGAACGCGCGCCCCGCTAAACATTGCACAGTCCACGAACAGGCAAACACTCGGAGAAACATGGATATTATAATTTGTTCGACTACACGGTAGCCACAGCGCTCGACCAATGGGAACGAGAGAGACGCTTCATCTCTCTACTTTTACATTGTTCCTTATCACGTGCGTCTCCGTGGTTCGTTCGAAGGTCCTCCCTTCCACTTCGTTTTCACCTTCGACGACCGCGAAGTTTGACGAATTTGTAATATCGAACAGCTGAGTTCACCGACGGGTTACGAGAAAGATCGACCAACCGATCCTCTCACCCCATTGGACGATCGTTAAAAACTAGATATTATTTAGAAGGAAAATTCTTTTCGCCATCACCGCTCGCGCGTCGTCCGAGCCTTTCCGTCCGGAAGCCACGCGCGCAAAGTCGCGGTAACTTCCTGAAAGCCAAAACTCGCGTCTACGAATAATTCAGTGATTCTCGAACTTCGCTCTCCCGCGAGTTCGCCACGGTAAAATGAAATTATTAGAACCTCCTTTTGGAAAAATTCTTTATCAAAGATTAATCGAATGTGAACAAATTACCAGACCTGCATCGGTTCTGACCCTTTTTTTGGACGGTGTCTGAATATATCAACCATACTTTTATCGTTTTGGACGAATATCGAGGAACTCTGTAAAAATTTTATTTCCATCAAGAACAAATTCCTTTTCTCTTTGAAGAGTTTGAAAACCTCCGGGAGTTTGGGGAAGTTCGAGAAACACTGGAATACCCGATCCTCTTTATTTTTTAATTTTCCGTTAAAGTCGTCGTCGACCGGAAGTCACACGATTCAGCGACAGAGATAGGAAGCTTCGAGGGATTCAACCCACCGCGTCGATTCGTTCTCAGAATTTTTGATTCTATTTGTTTTTCAAATCGACAGAAATTCGTCCGATTGCATCTACGCACAATTTTGTTGAACGATGGAATTTTGACAGCGTGGATTACAACACGGCTGAAATTAACGGGGGAGCTTCGTCAACGATGGCGACAACAATGATAGTAACTACTAAAAAGTACGCGCTATGTATACTCCTGTACAAACTGTAATCGCACGGTGTCGCGCCGTTTTTCGTGATTTCTTTTTTTTTTTTGTCTTTTTCTCCCCACCGTTGAACAGAGTGTGCATCTATTTTAATAATAAAAGGTAAGCGTTTGATGGCGGCTCCACAAAAGAGAGAGAGAGAGAGAGAGAGAGAAAGAGAGAGTGTGTGATACCTGGCAGTAAAGGAAAATAGTTTCTTGTCAATTTCGAACAAGATTGTCATAGATCCGCACGTTTTTGAACGATGGTGTGCTCGCCGCGTAGCGAACAGCTTAACAAACTACATAACATTAGCGTGAATACGAACAACGAAGTCATCGATTTTAAAAATCGCTTAAAATCACGGGTACCGTGGAATTATGGTAAATTACATTCAGCCGCCGACCGCGAAGCTTCGTACCGTTTAAAAAGTAGAGGTATCCATTGTTCTCGCCAAAAAAAAATTTGGTATCCCCGCATAGATTCTCTATTAACGTCAACATATAAAAATATTCGAACTAATCTACCTTAATAAAAAAAAAAAAAAAAACCAACTAAATCCGACCTAAATCATTTCGACGGGTCTTCTTCTTCCCTTTTCTTCTTTTTTTTTTTTTTCCTCCCCTTTCGTTACAGAGAACTATTTTTATTCCCCTCCACGCGGGGAGAGCGCGACAATTGCTTCGTTCTCTTTATTGGCTATGAGTATTTCGCAAGATATTCACAAGATATATCACACGAACGATAAAGGGTTAAAATTTGAAAATCGTTTACGTATACACACGATGATGCCAGGTGACACTGATGAGCTAGCTTCGATGGCAGAAGGAAAAAAGAGCGGTGTATTAACATACACAAAGGTTCGTTCACACGCGAGCTCCTGCGCGCGAGTTTTCGAAAGTTTCATTTTTACTTTTACGGTTCTATCGTGTAACGAGCTAACTACACCCCCCCAATACTATACGCGCGAACAGCGCTGAGTGACTTTCGAGGTTTATTTTTATCGGGAACAAGGTGGTACACGGCAATGCTACTTTCGTCCTTAATATACAAGAGTGAGCTTCACGAACGTTCGTACAAAAGGTAGTCTTATTATACGCCGAACGACGCTTTCGATTCCCTCGGCCTGTTTTACAATTACAAAGTAGAATCCTTAGTCTCTAAACGGTTCCACGTGAACGCGAACAATTTCCACGCGTTTCCCCTACCCTCCCTCCATCGTTTCATTTTCTTCACCTTTTTTTTGTTTTTATTCATTTTCATTTTTTTTGGCATCGAATAAATGCAAACGCTCAGAAAATGTCCGCGCGCCGGGCACGCTCGATTAACGAGCCGCGTGTGAACGAGCCTTAACGAAGAGAAATTCAGCAAGTGACCTGCCTGTGAACCCCATTACGGCCGCAGGCCACCCTATCACAATCTTCGTCGACGTCATGGAGACGTTCGTCGTCAGCGTAGACGGCGATTTATGGTGATGGATGATGATGATTACACGCGATGATGACGTATAGCGATGACGTACGCGGGCGGATGACGATGACGGTGACGATGACGACGACGACGACGACGAATGACAACACGACGCAGCAACGTCAAAAGAATACCACCGTCGACCGTCTGCGAGTACCGCGCGCACTCCTCGTCGTTAAATCCTCAGAAGCCACGATACCCGATTTATCCAGCCTCGACGCGAGGCCACCACACTGCACCTTCACCTATACCCGCACCACACTGTAGCACCTCAACACATTGCGATTGTCATGGCCTATGGAACCTGCAACCGATGAATTACAGGATAATTACGGTGTCGAGTCTACGTTTTGTCAGTGCAACAGGTGATCGAGACATTTCTCCATAGTCCTACCATTAGTTCTATCATTTATATTTCGTTACGCTTTTGTTATTCAATAAGAATCTAGAAATGTTTAATCTGAGTTTAGGAACTTCTGGGAACTCAACGATCATAGGCTCCACCAGCTTATTATTACTACAAATTAGAGCAAGCTGGTGTTTTATTATTCTATGAGCGTATGAGAAGATAATCGTATCTCCCAATAAATTAGATAATTTGTTTTCTGCCTGAAACTTGTAAAATATGGTCCAAAAGTCAGTCGATGTAACTGTTTTATTTTATTTGCTTTCGATAGTTGTAATAAAACTTATGGCAGGACTAGGTACACTTCGAGGGACGTGTGACATTCATCGAGGGGGAGAGAAAAGATTTAACCCTTCAGGGACGGGATTAACCCCTTAAAAGATCAACCCTTCGGGGACGGATGCCGGAACATTTCCATTAACATACTTTTTTTTTCTGGTTTGGACGATATCTGAATAATCCTGTCGATGTAACTTAAAGAAGGAAAAGCAAATCGCATTCTGCTCGTCGATCTGGAAATATGTTAATTCGAATACAGATAAAGGGGGAGCACGATCAATAAATAGAAGTAAATATATGTATACATACAGGTGTGAACAGAGGGGAAGTGAATAGAAGAGTGCTGGAACGTACTATTATACAAGTAAACGAACGTAAAAGGAATTTATTGCGATTCGTGACGGGTGAGAATGGGGTAAATTGGGCTGGTACACTTCCATATAATCGTTCTGTGCGTGAATCTCAGAAAATGGTGGAGACAACTGGTTATTCCGGAGATCGGGTATATGTACAATTTTTATATACTCTGTGAGGGCTCGTTGAATAGAGAAAATGGACGTGAGACTTGGTGCACCGATCAAGGAGCCAACTGGTCCGAATCTACAATCCGTCGAAACGACGGGGACACGAATAAATAATCGTTCTAATCGAAAAATTAAGGGAGGAAGACTGGAGTCTGGTTATCGTTGCGATACCTGCAGGTGGAAACCAGGTCTTCATATTGGTGATTGAAAGATACCGTTTCATAGAAAACTGTAACATGTAACGTATGCAATGAAATCAATAAGAATTATTCTTCTATCCGTGTGTAATACGATTAATTTAAAAAAAAATATATATATATAACAGATCGCAGTAATCTTATGCCTCGTCCATACCGGTGTAATTTAAAGTCCTCCGTCCCCAGAGGGTTAATAAACGTGATCCGAGTATCAACGTGTTCAAACTTTCGCTATCGAGTAAAATAATTTTTCAAGACCGTTTCTACGACAGTCAAGTCTTAACTTTCAGAAAACTCTCAGCCTCTCAGCATCAGACTCGACTCGAACACGGTTTAAAGCTCTCAAATTTGTTATAGTTCCAATACGTCCCAAACGCGATTATTAGAATAATTTTAACGGTTCAGAAGGAGACGGGCGTACCTGGTGAGGTGTCGGCTGTTCTCATGAACGGCCATCTCGGAACTCTTAAACTCGTTCAGCTCCTTCCTAATGGCTGCCTTGTCCTTGGGGGTCAATCGTGTCCAAGGCTTGTCAGCCCTTCTATCGTACTCGTGGGCCTGCGTGACTTCAATGTAGTCATTGAACCTGATAATCTGCAAACGAAAGCAAAACGTTATCTCGTTATTCAGTTTCGATCTTCGTCGACTCGAGGCAAGATTCTGGATTGTCGAACGAAATAAAATATTTAAAGCCTGTATTTTAAAAGGCTACAACATCGTCGAGCCTTCGACTATCCTTCGAACCAGAATTTTGTCGCAACATGGCGGCCAACGCACCTTTTTCTCCTTAAGCTCTTCGACGGTCGGTCGGAAGCTGAGTTTCCGCAGCAGGTATCGCTTCTTCTCCTCCTTCTGTTTCTTCTCCTCGGCGGGGCTTTGCTCTGAAAACACGTCATGGATCGTTTCGTACAACCCCAACAGAACAGCAATTATTTTGTCGCGGTTCGCGCGTAAAAAGAAACGATTGCTCGACGCCATTTACGCGACACTCGACTTGCTCATGCATTTAAAGCTTACTTTTCAAGATATTTCGCTCCTCCAGTTCCTCTTGGGTCGGTCGCATGCTCAGCCGCCTGAAACAACAATGCCACGTGAATCACCGTCGACCTATCGATCTTAATCCGCTTTCGTCCAGTTCGAACGGCCAAGGGACGGTGTAAAACACGCGCGCGGAGGTAAACAAATGATTTATCGCGGTCAACTGTTTGTCTCGTGATCCGATGTAATCTTCTTTAAAGAGAACAGTCGCGTAGGACGCTCAGAGTCGAACAATTCGAAAAGAAATGGTTATCTAACCTTTTGATAGTGTGATACTTTGGCGTCACACGATTTTAAGATCGTTCGAGGAAAATAAAATACGTATAAAAGCTCAGACATGGGCAACATTTTTATCTGGATAAAAATTTTTAATAAAAATGAAGAAACAAAAATTATTCCATCGATCTAAACACCACTAATAGATCGTTTTTCGATCTTGTATTGGGTTTGCATCGTTTCAATAAAATTTAATCCACCTCTGATATGGTGTATTTTATAATTTATTAAGCCAATAGTATCTACTGAAATTCCTATCAAGGGGGTTGAACAAATATTTTTCTGACGCTTCAGTCGTGCAGAGTGACTCGTTTTTATCTGCGACGATACGAGAAAATTTGCAGAATTGAAAATGGCCGCGTTTATGGGATCCCTGGGACCGCGAGAAGAAAGATGGCGGCGCCAAGGACGCTCGTGAACGGCGAGTCCATTCACGAGCGTTGGTCATGATCGCGTCGGAATTCGCGGACGGCCAGATGGGGAAACAAATCCACGCTTTCCCGGTAGATCGCTAAATTTAGGAGCCGGCCACGGTTTCTACGTTGCGTCGCCGGTGCATCGATTCTCGTGAATGTAACGCGCCGCGCTTGCAATCGATAGCGCGAATAGTTCTGGCTCTTGCGTTTCTATGGCCAGCATCGTTGCTATTCACGGCCACGCGAGATACGGCGAGGATTCAGCGGACGCTTGAATGCTCGCCGTGAATGGCGGCCCCGGTGTTCCTTTCAATAACGCGAGCCACGCTTTTCTCCATCGTTTTCCCGATTTTATTTCAGGGACGCTAAGGACGCTTTGGCTCTAATAACGCGCGAGTCCCTTTCCTACATCCTTTTTTTTCGACGCTCGAAGAGTTGGACGTCGAATCGGTGATTTTATTTTAATTTGCAGAAATTAGTAAATTTCGTTTCAGAGAAATCGACGGTGCAAAATAGTCGACTCTGTCTTTTGGATGCATGTTGATACAAGACCGACGATTTAATTTTATTTTGGGAAGTTAAGTAGCAATTAAATGGAGGTTGCATTGCTCGAGACAGCCGCTGGTCATGTTTCTGGACTATTCAGGCGAGTGAGTCAACTGTCAGTGATGAATCATCGATGGATTTGATTTATTATTGTTAGACGAGCGATCTGGGGGATCATTGATGCGAGAGACGAAAAAATACTGTGGTTTTAATACATTACTCTATCTATTTTTACTGCCAAGGGAACGCTGCTAACTGTCAGGCGCCAATTTTTGATGAATCATTGCAGAAATATTCAATGACCCAGCGGAAAAAACTGTGTTTCGTTTCTGCAATGTTTTAAGGGAACATCATCCCTTTTTACCAGAGTCATTTTATTTTCCTCGAGGTTAATCCTCAATTTTACATAAATACACTACTATACAAAGAATACCAACAGAGTTTCAGAACCGATAATATGCAAAGAAATATTTAAAATTTTTATAAACGTGTAATGAACTTCAACCTGTTCTAACTGATATTCGTAATAAAAAATGACCCGATTCGGAGGTTTTATGGATTCTCTGGGTTCAAAAATATCCTTTGTCAGTCTCCGAGGTGAAAACGCAGAAAAGATGGAGAATCTTTTCACCTGATGAGCTTGGCACCAATTGCCTCCTTCGTTTCCTGCCTCTCATTGTCCGACTGCAGCTGAAGGATGTTCCTGTTGATGAGTTCCTGCCTGTCCGGCCTCAGGGAGAGCTTCAGCGACAGCGACTCCTTGCGCGCGATCTTCGCTGCCAACCGGCCTGCAATTAAACAAACAATCATCAGACCGCTGATCACGAACTCACGTATCCGCGTATGTATTTTGCTTCGTCTAACATTTACTCCCACTTTCTATTTCGGCTGGAAACTTTTTCTCGGCACACTGAATCTCTGAAAAACTGCCACACTCGAATAAAAAATAAAACGACGACCTTAATGCAATCAATATAATAGAAGTACTAATTTGGACACAATAATGCTTCAGAGAGCAATGAAAAAATGTTTCCTTCCGGTGAGACTATTAAATATTACTGACCACAGAACTGATCCATGACCCTACTTTGTTATTTGAGAGTTTTTCGAACGACAGAAGTAATTATAGAGCGAATCTTCGTGAAGAATAAATAACAGGAGTCGTTGTTTGTCGAACACACGTCATGTGTTTTCGAACGATCGTATCGAACACCACTACACGCTCGCGTTTCGAACTCTTGACTACTACAATAGGAGACGCTATTATCGACAACAGAGGCACGCAATAATCTCTCGTCGAAGCGTTTTATTCTATTTTAAGAACGATTCGTACGTGATTTACCATCGACGAGCGAGGAGCAACTGTTGCTGCGACGCAATGGCGGCTCCCGTTTGGAGGGCTCGATCGAGGCACAGGCGATCGACAGGGTCGACGCGGTCCAGATCGACAGCATGGTGTCATCGCTCTGTTCATTTCTCGCGACGACCACCGCTGCACTAAATTCCACGCACGAACGCCCCCGCGAAACGGTTTTATCTCGATTCTCGTTCGCGATTTTTAATCGAACTCGCCCCCTCGTGCACTTTTCACGCGCGATTTTTCTCCCTTAAACGTCGACGCGATCTTTTTATTTCGTGTCTCGAAGTTTCGAACTCGATCGAGACGCCGAACGGTTCGCGGAAAACCGAAGCAAAACAACGGCCAGAAGCACACTGAGCCACTTGCCAGCTATCTTCGGGGATTAATATAACCTTCGAGGTGTTTGCGCGATCTCGCGCCTGTCTGCGTGAATAAACGTATCTCGTCGCGAGTATAATTAGTACGGTCCACGAATGCTGATTCTGAGGCCTTTTGGCAAACCCATCTTCGCCTATCTCAACGTCCCTTCGCGCCTTCAGTTTCCACTCGAAGGACCTGTCGATCGCTTCGCTCGAATAGAATTCCAAAGGAACAATGCGAAACGTTATTTTGCATCGCGTGAGATAATTGTTGCGCCGAAAAATTGCATCACGGTCGAGAGGATCGGTACAAAAGAAATCCTCTAAAAAGCAATTAGGGAAAATCGTTAACGTGCCCTCGAATCGGCGGGATTAATCGTTGAGTAGCCGACGTTACGTCGCGAAAGAACAATGGTCGGGGGGGGGGAAGAAATTCCAATTAGAAACGTCGACATCCCCCGTATATCGTTCGCGTAATTCGTTCCGCGGGAAAGAAACTGGAAGAAAAATGACGCTGGCCGATTGTATCCGTTCATATTATATTTCTCGTTAAATCCGCCAGCCTTGGAGGCGGCTTCGTTTCGAAAAGCTTTTACCGCCGACGCGGAACGACGTCCGAGCGAATCCTCGTCCCGATATTTCTAGCCGAGCGACTTACGATAATGAAAAATAAAATACCGTCGAAGCGGCAGAATTATCGATATCATCGTGAAAGTTTAAATATTTCTCATGTTTAACATCGAAGTTTCGAAAAATAATGAAATTTGGACGTTGTTCCTTTTTATAATTGTTAACTGTTGGATATGGTGGGAGAAATGAAGTAAAACTATTTTAAATTAAAACTTTATAATTGGTTTTATTTAAAGTAGACAGGGATTGTGTCTTTACTCAACGAGAGAAACTAAAAGACTGAACGTCGTGAACAAAAATTCGTCACGCATTCGTAGACCCTCTTGGGCCCTATCTCGCTTAGACTAAACAGCAACTGTGATCAAAGAAACACAGCTCCATGCTCTCGACTCGAAACTTGAGAGTCGAATATATACCAGGATATCCGGTCGATAATTTTTGTTAATAAATCAACATTAACAATTTCTGCCTCGAGTTCTCGAGAAGAGAAGGAGAAATTTGCCTCGTTGAATTTGTTTCTCGTATTGCGTTTCCGTGTTCGATTCCTCGTTCGAATATTTGTTACACGATGATAATTGGGAATATAATTAAGGTTAATTAGGTAACGTTACAGGGGAAACTGAATACTACGGTTTAATTTTCTACGTAATTGCTATAGAGTTAGAATGCAATTACGTAACATTAAACGTTACATATTGTATCTCGTGTTTCAAACGAACAATTTTTCCACTTATTTCGAACGTGAAAGTATCATACAATTCTTTCGTCCTAATCGATTTAGAATATAAGGGATGCTAGGAGTTTTCACGTCGAAATAATTATCGAGTGACTTTAAAAATGTTTCGAAAATTTATATTTGATACAGGAGTACTTTTCTGTTAACACTGACGAATGTCAGATTGCATATTTAAAATTGCAGAACGCGTACAGATTATTTTTTAATTACTCATGTTGAATTTGTTTGGTGCAATGGCATGAATACATATTCAAAATCGTATTTTAAGGTAAGGTAGGCGAAAGACGACGATAAAATTGAGAGGGGACGCAATGTACTTACTTTTCTCGTCGTCGTAGTCGTCCCTGTAAAGTACCTGCCCGTCACCCGAGTCGCCATCGACGTCCTCCCTGATCACGTACGGCCTCGCGTTCTCCTTGTTCTCCAAAGTGCTAGGCAGGGCGAAGCCGAATCTGACCGGTCGACTGCTGAAATAAGCGCCGGGGGAAAAACGAGCGCACGGTTAGAACGATTCTCTGCTTCGTATCGGGGCAAAATCACTCGGCGATTAGGCGACGAATACCGCGAGGAGCTATAAATAAAGAGAAACGATGCGACTCGAGACACGTTTGCGTCAGAAATTGATCCCTTTGCATCGAATCAAGATTTATTACCGCTGGTTTAAAGTTTACCGAGACGTTATTTCTAACTCTCCGGCTGGTTTTCATCGACCCAGTTGATTTTGTTCCCGATCCAGTGGTAGTCAGAGCTCCCGAGATCCAGAAATTCAAGACAATATTGAAATTACAATTTTGCGTTTATTTCTGTAAAAAATTCTACTTTGGCTCTTTACTGGATCCCCGGACAGCCCCGACAGTAACGTTTGGTCGACGCTACACGAATCAATGTTCTACTCTACGATGTTCCAAGTACGAGATGCATATGGAGGGGATGAAACAACGCCAGTGACAAGGGGGTGGAGAATTGGAGAATGCACAGTGTGACGTCGATGAAGATAACAGAAGCAACTTGCTGGGCTCTGAAACGGACACCGACGTCGTCCGTTTCGAAACGCGTTATCAACGACGTCGACGCAGATAACCGTTCCCTTCGCGACGCCTATTCTTTTCCATTCGCGACGACGATTGCTGTTTTTTCTTCTCTATTTTTAATTCCGTTACGGCGGAATGGACGATCGTTTCGAATCAGAAACCGTCGACAATCGTTCAATTATTCAACCCTTTCTTCTTGGTCGCGTTTTGGCTGGATTATTTTTTGGAAACATTTCTGTTCACAGTTATAAGAAATAATTTCTTTTTTTTTATCGATGGGTTATTTCGATTCATCTTGGATCGGATATTTGAACGATTTTTTAAATTTAATCGAAACACATAAAACACCAATATTTTAAGAACAGTTCAACCAGTATTTACAGTAAAAAGGGCTGAGACAAAATAGTAGACACTTATAAAATACAAAAATTGAAACGATCACGCAAAAGGGTTCCCAAGTATCGTAATAAAAACGTGACGAAATTACCACAAAAGAGAAATAAATGTTTCGTGCATGGATTCGTTGGAAATGTTTTAAATTCGGAGACGTTGCACGATCGTACATTCCATCGAACGTTAAAATAAAAAAACGAGAAAAAACTTGCCTTCCACGAACAGTTGCATATTTTAAAAATAGTCGACGAGCGTGGAAGCGTCGAAGTCGCGGCGATAAAACACAGAGATACGGGAAAACGATTAGAAGATTAAAAAGAAAAAGGAAGGAAAAAGTAAACGCCAGGGGTCCCTGACGCGTCGGGACGAAGATCGAGGTCCTCGTTCTCGTCGATCGATGGTTCGAGGCTCTCGGACGCGCGAGGAACTTGATAATGGAACGTGTGAAGCGTAGGCGACAGTTTACAATGGGTTTCCCTAAGGTTTTCTCATGCTTAAGGTCGCAAGTTTACCATGCTAACGGCGCTCGTGATGCTGACACACAGAGAGACGAAAAATAGTAAAAAAGAAAAAAAAGTAGAAGACGAAAGATCGATAACAGGGTGATAAAGTGAAACGGGGAAACAAAGGCGGAGAAAGATAAAGGTACAGAGAGACCAGAAACAGAAACGTTTGTTAGTTCTCTGCGATCAACCGCCGTGGATAAGACAAATATTTATATTATACATATATGTTTTGATATTATATATATATATTCGCTATCTTTTATATACACAATATCGGTTCGTACATGCTTAGTTAGACCAATGCCCAATTACCATATTCTCATCCTAGGCCTCAACGGTGGCCTTCTGGTTAAGCATAAGAAAAATACGATATTTTACTAGTGACTGATACATGTTAATGGACGATACTTTTTTGCGTGGGAGCCGCCTCATACCCCGGAGCATCGTTCTCGATTCCTTCGATATTGAGTTTCGCTCGACTGTTGGTTTCGTTGCTTTTCGGGACTGGAACAGAATCTCTCTGACACACTGTGTCTATTGGGTTATTCGCTGTGCACACGATACCAAAATAACAAACTTCTCTTCTCGCGATGACACCCTCCGAATTAAACATTATATCCTCAATCATATAGATCGATGGTATTCACAAAATTCACACGAAGTAAATCTACTTAACGCGTTAATTATTTCGGTGAATGGATATTCGTGTAGAACCCTGATTTTAATTAAAATTCCATTAAACATTACACGCTTTCAACGCGCTTCGAAATAGTTACGAATAGAGTTTAAATTGAGGTGCTTTCCGAATACAAATTTCTACCCTTTGAGGTTTACCAATTGAATGATATTCTATAATTGTAGACCGAGTAACTTCCCCAAAATGTAACAGATTTTAATGTCTAGCTTTAAATTAAAAAATATTGTGTTTTACGGGTGCCCGATGCATTTTTGATCACCGCAGTACTTCAAAGTATCCAACCAGTCAGTCCAATGACACTCGTTCGAGAGGGGAACCGAAACGAGCGTCCGCCTGAATAAAAATGATCGACAGAGCTCGAGAGAGAATGGCAGGAGGCCCGTGATAAACGCGATGCGTGAAAGAAATGACAAGGCCGGAAGGTGAAGAACGATGTTCCAGACGAGTCGGGACACTCCAGGGTTTCGAGACGTTTCCATTAAAGCCAACGATAATTAAACGGGCGGCCAAGTCGACACTGACCCCCCCGAATTTATCGTCGACCGGTTAAAAACGTCTGAGAGGTTCTCAGGGGCGTTTAAACGAAAACAGAGTAGTTCGAACACGCCGTCGAACCTTGAAGTAGGCCCGAATATTCCGAACGAAAGACTCGTGGGGTTCGAATCTCGAAAACAGAAATTCATTCACAAATTAAGGCTCGTTACGGGTACACGATACGGTGAAGAATATTAGGTACGAATTTTCGAGTCGTCGAGTCTTTCGAGTGGATTTCATCGCAGAATTGCTTGGAATCGGACTAACTTGAAGGAGGCTTGCAGCTCTTGGCGCAGGGTCAACGGCCTGTTCTCCTGCGTGGGCGTGTTCTGCGGCGTTCCGGGACCACTTCCGGAACCCCTCTTCTTCAGCACGCTCTTCAGCGGCACCGCGTGAAACTTAGGCTCCTTGGCGGGAATCTCCTCGACCCTCGACGTGTCGATGGTAGGATCCGGCTGGGACATCCTGACCACGTACACGTTGTCTTCGTCGTCCCCGTCGAAGTCTTCCTCGTCTTCTGAAAAACATTCGTTCGGTTGCAGACACGATGATTTCACTCTCTGAATGGATTAAGTGTCGTAATTAAAGAAATTCAAATGTCCATTGCTTGCAATAATTCTAATAAATAGACGACAAATAACAAGAATAAAAAAGCAGATTTAGTTCGTTATTATTCTCTTATTCTTGGTGCAATCACATAAACGAAAGATGTAAATCATAGAATGGATAGATCAGCAGTTGGGTGTAATAATTAAATTAATTCTGATGTCTATTGCTTGCAATAATTCTAATAAATAGACGACAAATAACAAGAATAAAAAAGCAGATTTAGTTCGTTATTACTCTCTTATTCTTGGTGCAATCACATAAACGAAAAATGTAAATTATAGAATGAAATTATAGATCGGTAGTTAAGTATCGTAATTAAAGAAATTCTAATAAATGACGTCAGATGAAAAAAATAAAAAGGTACGTTTAGTTCGATGTTATTCTCTTACTCTTGGAGCAATCGCGTAAACGAAAGATGTAGATCATAGAATGGATAGATCAGCAGTTGGGTGTAATAATTAAATTAATTCTGATGTCTATTGCTTGCAATAATTCTAATAAATAGACGACAAATAACAAGAATAAAAAAGCAGATTTAGTTCGTTATTACTCTCTTATTCTTGGTGCAATCACATAAACGAAAGATATAAATTATAGAATGAAATTATAGATCGGTAGTTAAGTATCGTAATTAAAGAAATTCTAATAAATGACGTCAGATGAAAAAAATAAAAAGGTACGTTTAGTTCGATGTTATTCTCTTACTCTTGGAGCAATCGCGTAAACGAAAGATGTAGATCATAGAATGGATAGATCAACAGTTGAGTGTAATAATTAAAGAAATTCTGATGTCCATTGCTTGCAATAATTCTAATAAATAGACGACAAATAACAAGAATAAAAAAGCATATTTAGTTCGTTATTATTCTCTTATTCTTGGTGCAATCACATAAACGAAAGATGTAAATTATAGAATGAAATTATAGATCGGTAGTTACTTAAGTGTCATAATTAAAAAAATTCTAATAAATGACGTCAGATGAAAAGAATAAAAAGGTACGTTTAGTTCGATGTTAGTCTCTTACTCTTGGAGCAATCACGTAAACGAAAGATGTAGATCATAGAATGGATAGATCAGCAGTTGAATGTATCAATTAAAGAAATTCTGATGTCCATTGCTTGCAATAATTCTAGTAAATAGACGACAAATAACAAGAATAAAAAAGCAGGTTTATTTAAGAGGATTCGAAAGATCGTTAAAAAATTGAAGAAAATGGATACGTACCTTCGTCCTCGTAATCCGAGGATAGGGGATTCCGTGTTTGCCGCTGTTTGGCCAACAACAGAGTAGGACTCGAAGAGCTGAACATCGGCGGGGGCGGAATCGGGCCGATCTCGCTCAATGGAATCGGCGGTTCCGGAAGCTCCGACAGCATCATCGTGTTCTGAGACGGCAAGGGGAAGCACCATTCGATTACTTGTTGGTTCTCGCCGCTCTGTTCCAGAACCCCCTTGTCCACTGTAAACATACCGAAAAGAACACGTAAATATCTGTATGAAATTCGGAAAAAAACATAGGAAAAGCGAATTCCATCGAAATTACCTATTTTCCCCCCAAACCACCGAAGGGATTTCGACCAAATTATATTTTGCAATAAATTTATCTCTCCGTGTTCATGATCGATAAAAAGCAATTTTCCAAATACCTCAGACACGACTCTGCTCTTCGTTCGAGCGAGTCAACCTCGTAAGTTTATTTGCAAAAAGAGTGGTACGACGTTATTTCTGTAGACAAAAATAAATTTACCATTTTGCATTTAGATGGACGCGCCTTAAACAAAATACGGAGCTCGACTTGAAGAATTTACGATCTGCCGTTGAGCGCGCGGCGGAGGAGGTATTTTTGCCCAGGGAATTGAAATTGTTCTCTTGCATCCCCCACCCCCTGTGTGCAATATACACCGTCGTCCATAAGTCATCGGACGTTTGGTCGAAAAATGCAAACAATATACGGGTACAATTTTTCTAAATCGTTCTTATTGCCTTAGATTGTTAATTTAATATTTTTAAGAACGACAAATTCACAAATATTAGTTTTTCCTACCATCGACTGTCCAATTGCTATTTTTTCTGGGACGGTTCGCGTTCGAGAAAATCAATTTCGAAGATTCCGTTGTACGTGCAACTCGCCATGGCTTCGCTAACGAGTCTGTCCATTGCTCGCTATTTCTACTCGTGTTTGAATTGCAAACGCGCCCGTGCTATTTGTTTAAATCGGTTGCAACGAGGTAGAAGGTTGCGACGAGTTCGAGGAAGTACAGATAGCACCGTAGCTCCGCGAACGGTTGCAAAAGTAGAAACAGCGAGCAATGGACAGACAGGAACACGTTAGCCAAGTCGTACCGAATTGCTTGTATCCCAGGCGGATTTCCAGAATCAATTTTCTCGAAAATACAGCCACGACGAAACTTCATCGCCCGTGTTCGACGTATACACGTTGAACTGGGAACGCCCTACGTGGGATATAACATTTTTAAAACGATCACTCATCGTTTCTTTTTAACGAGGTTCCAGTCACTCGAAAATGTAATAAATCTATACTGATTCAACTGGTAGAAATTGACAACCTCACATAGAGATTATTGAATCAATATTAGGATTTATCTATAGAAATATTAACAATCAATTACTAGCGAAACTTCGTGAAACTGTTGGTTCGCGAAGTTAACTTGCCTACAGTTTCAATGAAAACAATGGAACTTTGTATCGCAGAAGATGGTAGCTAGAGCACATATTAAGTGTTTCATAATAACACGATTATTATTATGTCACGAGTTCATAAAGGACCTAACCATGTTCGAATTTCCTTAAGCAACTTATCGAATAGAAATAAAAATGATCCCCGAAGAAAAAGTGTTCTGACAATTTTAATATAGCTGTTCACAGATAACAAGTCTTGCAAGTAAAAATAAGACTAAAGTGTCATATAACAAACAATTCATAAATGCTTCGTTAAGAAGTTATGATAAAAATATGAAGGTGTTTTTTTATTTACTAAACGAACAAATTTACTAAGGCTTTTTTTAAAGAGAGCAACTGCTAATCGAGGCACGAAAAAATAGCGTTTACGTAGAATTATGTGGTCGACTGAAACATTTCTTTATCAGAGTTTAGTTTCTATCATTTAAATCAGATGTTGAAGCATTCCTTCTTCGACGATAACTTTTCGTTGCCATAAAATTTTCAACTAAACTGCAAAGAAACTCAAGACATCGAATGCTTGCAAAAGATTCATTTTATTTTATTAAAAAATTCTTTTTCTCAGCCGAGTTTCACGGTTCATATTTTTGATACAATTTCTTAACAAAGAATCTATTCTATTAAGATGATCGCTACCTTGACGCGAGGTCGTAAGAATGTAACACTTCGAAAATGTCACAACCCAGGTGGACGGTGTTATTCATAGACACACGGAGTGCTACGGGTCGGAAAAGAAACGCGTGCCAATCGTTTCGGGAAAACATGATTCATCCGGTGGCACCGGGTGACGGGATGCTTGGCAAGTATGCATAGCGTTTTTCCGTGACGAATTACGAAATTCCGCTCCGGGAGTTCATACCGCGGACGGATTCCCTCGTGACGCGCGCGTCTCGTCCTCCTTTTTTTTCCCCCAAACCCCGCCCCCGCGAGTTTCTTTTTCATCGCGTCGCGGGGTATCATCCCCGTCGCGGTTCATTTCTCACGAAACGCCCGATCCACGGGCAAAGAATAATAAACGAACGCCGCCGCGACACACGGGATTGCGTAACGCCGTAATATTTTCGCGATGATGCAGAGATTCCACCTAGAGATCGAGAATTCCGTTTTTAAATTGAAATTCCTCCCCAAACCCCCACTCGCGGGCAGGTTTATTACGTTTATTCGCTCGCGGATTATGACGTTCGCGTATATTATTGTTGCACGTCCAACGCCGCGAACTTTCAACCTGCTTCCGGCGCTTGGTACATTTATAGACGCGTGTTTGACGTTTAGGGCACTTGGCAAGAATTAAATATTTTTTACTTCGTTTTTTATTCGAAGCTACTCAAATTTTCAACGTCCTATGCGTTAAATAACTGGTTTTCCATGCGTGAGAACATCCTCGATTTTTTTTTTTAAATCATTTCAAAGGTTTATTTACGATATTTAATACTAGAACTACCAAAGTGGTTAAAATGACCCGTTCGTAATTTCTAATAAAACTTGTACAAAATTTATTCGACTGAATTTATGAAAAACCGTAACTTTCTATAAGAGATTGAATAATCATTTTCATTGCACGATACATTTATTCAAGTATCTATCGTTTTAATTTCTAGTGTGAAAGAAACATATGTTCGAAGTGTCAGTCACCATCAACTATTATATCACATAAATAAAAAATGTAACAAAGAAAGAGGAGTTTGGACCAACAATGAATATTTGTTGCAAAATTTGATGGAAATAAGCGCCAGCGAATATCTCGCGTGGTTTTTCGCGGAATTTCGAACGACCTTCGAGCAGGTGACACGAAACTGCGAACGGTCGAAAATTTCGGTAGAAGGAACTTGGAGAATAGTTCGAGCGAATTGCTAGGATTCCTCGCGTTCCCGGGGCGTCGAACGGTCCGTCGAACAGCGAACCAATTTCCAACTCATCGAGACTGTTGAAATCGATCGTGGAACCACTTATCGCTACCCGGCAACTCCTTCGCCAGCAATCGAGACGCCGATCCGCGGTGGGATCTATAAATAAGAATTTATATTTCCGGGAGACTCGGACCGTAAATTTCGAGCGAGGTTCCCCCGACGGGGAACCCGTGAAAAGACGTTTCGCTTGGGATCGCGATTATGGATATTCCTTGCACCCACGCGCGATTTTTTAAAACCGAAAGCTTTGGGAGTATTTATTATTTGACGTTAGATATTTCAAATTTACTTAAATAGTGATTGTCAACGCTATTCATTGCATTTAGAATGCAATTTTACTTTCAATCGGGATATATAAATTGCCAACCCTTTGATAATCAAAGCTTTGGGAGTATTTATTATTAAACGTTAGATATTTCAAATTTACTTAAAAAGTGATTGTCAACGCCTAGATTCATTGCATTTAAAATGCAATTTTACTTTCAATTGAGATATATAAATTGCCAACCCCTTGATAACCAAAGCTTTGAGAGTATTTATTATTTGACGTTAAATATTTCATATTTAGTAAAAAAGTGATTGTCAACGCTAGATTGACTGTATATATTTAGGATGCAATTTTCTTTTCTTTAAATAATATAACGAGAACCAGTCAAATTGACGAGTAATCTGGCGTAAACATAATTGGATCGTTCCTATCGCAAAAGCCATCGATTTTCGATCGAACAAGTGGATTTCATCGTCCGAGAGCTCGTTCGTTCTTCCCATCGAGAAAAATTCCGAGCACGTTCTACGGTTCTACGGTCCAATTATTAATTTAGTGGCTTCCTCTGCGCCCTCCTCCAGCATCTTGCGTTCCCTCGTAACGAATAAAATGAAGGAAAATAAACAGACCGCTGTCTCTCGAGATTCCCCGCAGTCGGACGAGATTCAGAAACAAAGAAATCCACGCCACACAAGTTCAGCGTTTCTAAATTTCTGTCGCGGAACCACGAAAGGCTGCACCCCCGCGAAGGAGCCTAATAAACGTGTTTCCAGTCTCCGAACGATGCAATTTCGTCGGGGGGTAGGAACAAACGAGGATCCAGGGGGATGAAAGGCTGACTAAGAAGGGTCGCGGGCGATTAAAGCGAGAACTGGAGGGCAGCGGTGGCCTCGAAATCCCGTCTCTCGCGAAGAAACGCCCGGGGAGGCGGCAACGAAAACCTGTTACGAACTTATTTCCACCCGTCGCGATGTCTTTCGCGCGTCACGAGTCTCAGGAACGGGGCTCCGGGCTAAGTGCTCGCGACGAGGGTGACTATTTGCCCGAGGACCCCGTCACCTTTGACCCAGGACACGCTGTCTCTGCCCCGAAACTCGGTCCACCTTTATTGGCGGGGATTAATAAGGCCTCCTCGATCGATGACACGCCGCCTTTTAGCTCAGTTTGCCCAACTTTCACGCTGTTAACTTGCTACTACGTTCGCCATGGAGTTGATTAACGCTCGCTCCGAGACTGACGACGGTCTCCAGCCCCGGGAATTACTTCTTTCGTATGCACCCGCCCTCCCTTAACAGCGTTCTCCAATCTCGACTCGCGATGCAGGCGCCTCGTATTTTTTATCGTGTATCCGTGTAAATATTTGATTAGAAAAATGGGGGATCAAAAACAGATGTGGGCGTGGAAACGTATTTAACCCTTGACGATCCAAAAAAGATATATTTCCAGAGTAATAGAGATAAGGAACTTTTAATAATAAAGTGTCATTAACCGTAAAGGGTTCATTGAGCAAATGTTATTTAAGTGCCACTGAACGAATAATTAAACTGGCTATTTCAGATCCGGTCAACAGAGATCTAAAATTAACCCTGATCGAACAGTAAGACTATAAATTCGTGAAAACTGTGCTCTCAAGTTCTTCGAATCGCCTAATAAATACACTCGAATAAAAGGATTAATACAAACACCTGTTAACAATACACACTGAAAGAAATGTACAAATCAAAGGAAATAAATCTCCAATTGAAAATCACAGCAGATTTGTGAAAATTCTTTTATTGGAAATTACGAGGAGGGAAAGTACACCAAGAATACATTGTAAACGTTCAATTTCTCCCTCGAGAACCATGCAAAGGATGCAACAGAGCCATCGCGATAAGAAAACTGAAGCTAGAGGAACTAAACATTCCATGGAGCGGTGAAAATAAGTGAAAATGAAAATGTTTCTCTACGGTTGAAATCTGCAAGATACGCGTTTCCTGATAGCGCGGTTCGCGTGTACGTCGAAAGATTTTGTTGGAAAGTAAATTCGAGACGGGCGGAGGGACAAGTCGAAGATAAAAGCGAACTTTGAAGTTTCGTGGGTAAACGGGAGTTTTAAAGGCGATTTTCGACGGGACGCGAAAGTTTATCGTTTCGCTGCTCTATCCCCCGGAGAAAACTTCCCGCGGAATCGACCGAGAACTTTCGGTTCTGGTTAGAAATGGAGATGCTGTTCCTTTTTATCGCGGGCGTTTTATTTAGCGAACTCTTCGCAGCCAGTTAGCGAAACACAACTTTCGATCTTTCCGTATCTCGCGATAAACGTCGTTGAAATTGCACGGAATATTTATTATCGTTAGATGTTATGCATTTATGGGAAATTTTAATTTTCAAGAAGCTATAGCAAGAGCATTATTAATTCTATTAATCATCATAGATCACGAGACACAAATTAAAAGGTGAATTTAATAAATTTTTATTAGCGTTACGTGGTCTCCTTTTCGCAGAATTTTCATTTTCCATGACGTTTGAGGGGCCTTAAAAAATTTGTCGCGACACCCCTCGTATAATTTTTGATTTTCGTTCGAACGTGGGACAACATTGTTTGGTTATTGCGCGTCGATACGCGAGAATTTAATATCCGGCCGTGTAAAAAAAAAAAAAATAGAGGAGCGTCGCGATATTAAATTGGCCACAACTTTTCTGATAATAGTAATACCGATACCATCGTTTCGTGCAACGCGGTTATCCGCCGTTCGACCTTCCGAACGATTTTTGTTCCCCCGATTCAGAAGTTATTATTTCAATCATAGCGCGACGGACGTAATCTGAAAAGCCGATAATCCGTATAAGCCGGCTGTATTATTTTTACTACTTTCTCGCGTGGACACAGAGCGTTTCAGCGTAGGAATTACAACCGATCGTCTGTAATCTGTTGCGAGATGGATCAGCGACGATGCGTAACGCCGCGAAAATTTTATTGCACTCTTTTTTTTCGCGTCTAAATTTTTAATCAACGAGCCTCCGTACTGTAAAACAATTATAAAGTTACCATAAAGTGAACTATAAAGTTTCTACGATGCGTTACTGTCGCTGGAACGTTGACAGCGTGAATTTCTTAAGGCATCAAACTTTCCATGCGATACGAAGTTTATGCACGGAGGAGAAATTCGTACTGAAAGTATGTTTTCATCGTCGATCTGCGTTAGGGATACATGCGACAGAATATTGCAATACGTGTACCTCTCTAATGTAATATAATATAATGGCTCAATCAGCTGGACAAACGCGAAAATTCGAAGCAATGGAGGAACGATTGACTTCTATGCTTGATACTCGTCGATCTGCGTTAGGGATACATGCGAGAAAGAGCATAATAACAGATACCCAAGTATAAAATTGAATAAACATCGATGGTCATAGGCTACAGGAACATCAAAATGTTTTTCTTGCAATGCTAGTTTGATGATGGAGGCGATTTTAATTTGTAAATTCTTGAATTTTTAGTACAATCAGAATATAGTGTTTAGAGATTAACGAAGATCCAATATAAATTACTTTCTTTGGGTCTCGTGTACCTATACACAAACTCGAGAACCACTGGACTCTCACACGAAACTCTCGTATCAATGATTCTTAAAATGAACACGAGATTCGTAAGTCGAAGAGATCCTCGAAAGACGACATTCAAAACACTACTATTGTCGAATTTCGTCTTCACTCTACGAAAGCTGAGCACGTTCATTTTAAGAAATCATCACATCGTCCCAATTCTTCCAGTTCGAAGGCTACCACTAACACAACCAATAGCCAACCCTCAGGAGCGACGTTCGTTTTAACAATCACTGCTCTTATTCTTCCAAACAATGAAAATGCAAACCAAGTCTGCACGGTTCCTTCGTGTTTCACCGTCCCAGGCGAACACGCATCGAGCAGGCTATTTCCGTACGAAGATAACTCGAGATACCGCGAGGGTCAAAGGTCGAGATTCCCCGGTAGCAGTTAAACGTTATCGGCCGTCTACGGATCAAACTGTACTCACTGTCGAACAGCTTGAGTCTCCTGGCTACATCCCTGGATACCGTCCTGGATACCAGGTTGTACGGCCTACACGGCTTTTGCTGGTCCCCTGAATTCGGGGATTCGGCCGAGACCGGCACGCTGCCGGTCGTTGCCGTGCCCTGAGTCGCTTGCGGCTCACCGCCCGGCGATACCGCGCCATTTGCACTCTGTTCAGTCTTTTCCTTCTTCGGCTCTGCAACAGAAAAAAAAAAGATTCCAGACCGGTCAGAGCGGGGCGGTGAAAACGTTCCGAGAATCGCGAGCGACCAGCTCCAGCCGATTCCTCTCTCCCTTATTTTTACGCCATATCCCCCCATACACTTTACTCGTTATCTTGGATAACGTGGGCTTGAAAATCGAATTTCAAATCAATAGCTAACTTCCTCCTTGGAATTAAACAGTTCGTTTCGTTTTACGAAGATTTCAGGTCGTAGAACTGCACCTCGAATTAGCTTTTTCTCAGCGAGAAGGCGAGATTGTCTTCTGAGATTATGATTTTGTGTATAATAAACTACGATTTACAGTGAGGAGCATAACAGAACCAATAACCGCGAGTTTTGTATAAATCATTATTTACTGCTAAGAATGTAGAAGTAATAAATAATACACAATATAATTTTAGCGCCATTTAACTTCACGACTTTTCTTTTAGTATACGTGCAATGAATTTTACAATATTCACTTTTATTCTTATTGTTTCACGACCGGTTAAATGATTTATATTTTTTTGTAAAAAACTCGACAAAATTCGGTACCAAATTCTGGTCAGCTTTCTATATAAATAGGAAATATATGTATAGGAAAGACGAAAGGAGAGAATCTTAAGTTTCCACTGTCTTAAAACAGTCGAACAACGCGTATTAAAAATACTAAAACTTTAGACGCGTGCAGTTCCGAAACTACTAGTGCTTTATCCATTTTTGAGCCACTGTTAGCAGCGGTAAACCTTCCTCTTTAAAATGGCTTTTGGTTTTCGACGATCGGACTTTCCGTTTAGGAGATATCGTAATTTATGTAAAAGGTAATTTTTTAAATTCCCGCTGCCCACGCGCTCTTCGCCTTACGAAAGCCTATTAACGCGTATTAAAAATACTAAAACTTTAGACCTGTGCAGTTCCGAAACTACTAGTGTTTTATTAATTATTGAGGTATTGTTGGCAGCGGCAAACCTTCCTCTTTAAAATGGCTTTTTGTTTTTGACGATCCGACTTTCCGTTTTCGAGATATGGCAATTTATGTAAAAGGTAATTTTTCTTAATTTGACTATCTCTTTCTCCGTCTGACGTGTCGCGCCGGACCTCCTTGTCGCACGTTGACCCATTGACCGAGTGACCGAGTGACGTCACGTTTACTATTTACTACGGTCACGTGCGGCCACTGCCCACGCGACGTAAACAATGAAACGTAAATAAAGCTTCGGACCCTCGTATCTCTGGAACTAGCCACCGCATCGACTTGAAACTAAAATCGCTGTATCTCCGGAACTAATAAAGCTATCGACTCGTTCAAACGCTCATTTTAAAGGGCATTTCATCCACTATCCAATGACTATAACAACTACTATAATTTTTGCTATCTTCTATGTTTTTTTTTACATTTACTTTGACGCTATATACTAAAAGAAGTTTCAGCAATTCCTATTGATTATATGATTGTTTATAAATTGTTTATTTAATTGAAAATGAATTTAAATTTGTATACAGGGGGTTTGCATAATTACTATGCCATTTTTTCGTAAATAATCGTTTTCTCTGGAATTAACTACGGTATCGACTTGAAAGAAAATTTATCGTTGTTACGTTTTCTTCTTCGAAGGATATATTTTCAACATCTAAGAGACGATTTTGTAAAATATCCTTGTGCATGTACTGATTCACGATGCCATTAATTCGGTGCAGTGAGCCAACACCAAATGCTGTTAGTCACCCTCAAAATATTATGCTCCAAGACGACACAAAACCCCAAAAAACAGTATTTAAACTTCAAAGTATCGTGGTTATTGTCTCAGTTATGCTCCTTACTGTACGTCCTCACAAGCTTTGTTACTAAAAAATTGCAACGTACAAGCACATTCATTTTGATTAACCTCGCCGTGGCTGTGCTCGTCACGGTTGTTGGTTAAAAATCCCAGGGCATTCGTTCCACGTCCACTTTGTCCGCGAGATTATCTCCGTGATATAAGCACGGAGGATATAAATTGCACGAGTTATTTGTCATCGCGAATACAAAACGGAAACGCATCTATCGATTCCCCGATTTCAAGCGCACTTTTTCCCCCGCCTCCATTGTTACTATATTTTCACCGAGGGGGGTGGAATAATAAATAACGGCACAATGAACAGAATCAACGAGTTAACAAGGATAATAATTCGTGTTTCGGGGAAATACAGAGAATGTTGGTACATAGCAACGATTATTCCTACGACCCAGTTGCTGAAAATCACTCTATACAGCGATTCGAGAGCATAAAAGGTTAAACGGTCGGGAAGAAAGGATCTCGATACGAAATCGCGCTGGTAAAAATAAATCGTGCGATCGCGTTGCCAGATGCTGGTCCAGATCGTTGACCATACGCCCCCGCGTCAAACTCTGTTTTCGTCATCCTTCATCGTCGGAGGATCGACGAACGTCACCCCCGGTGACTAACTCCTCTGTTTTCGAGCTCGTGCAAAATTTCGCGACTTCGAGCGAAGATAAACACGCCTTCGCGTTTCTTTCAACGTCCAAGCACTGGGAGGCTGGTAGATTCCACGCGGACCGAATTAACTTTTAAACAACGTACCGTTTGGAACGGTATCTCGACTTTTTGATGAATTTAATAGAGATCGAGACGACGCGAGGACGCGTAATTTAAAATCGAAATCGAAATGGACGGTGACAGATCGCTCGAAATGAGATTTTCGTCGCCTCGTGATACACGCGACTTGGCCTTCTCCGTTCCACCGGGGGTTACTCGTCCACTTGGAGAAGCGCCAATGGAATTCCGAAAGCTGCCCGTCGACGTGGCGTTACTAATAACGTCAACAATGTAGAGAGATCGAAGGTCGACTCGACAGACTCCGAACGGGGCGAAATCGACGTCGAAGATATTTTAGATGGGAAGTTGCGCGAGCCACGCGGAAGAATTTCCCCTGGAATTCCATAAAATATTGCCACGGAGCTAATACCTCTATATTACCCATCTTTCTACTCCACTTGTCCTTTAATTCTGATCTATCTTCGATAATTGGGAAATAATTCAATCCTCCAACGACTCACGTATTAATTCTAACACGAAATTTCTGTGCAATTTTAGTCTGGACACTTGGGACGACGAAAATGTATTTAGTCAACATAGCTTTACGAAACTACAAAATTGGAGTGTCTAAAATAATTGAATGCTCTATAAAAAGCAGGAAATCTCGCCTGTGTGCACCAAATGACTGCGCTATTTAAATATAACTCGCACACAACTTGCAATTCTACTTCACTGTTCTAATTTTTGCAACAAATGTTTCGAAATTTGGTAAACAGTCCGTGCAATCTCGAACACAAATTTAATAATTCCAACGTTTTTTTTTATTAAAAACACGAGTTCTCACCTTCTCGAAAGTCACGCTTCCCGTCCACTTTTAAGATGCAACTGACTCTCCGCGTCATGGTCAACCGTGTTCCGTGGAGCGGATTGGATCTATGATCGATCACTGGTTTCGATCGTGGAGATTGTCGCGAACGCGAGCGTGGTTCCGCGTACGCGGAAAGCACAGACAAGACTGTCAGAAGCTAGAAACTCGCTGGCTGAAAATAGACGAGAAACGTTGGACGGATTGCGCGACGAACACCGACGCCGACCTTCTCGACGCGCGTCCCTCGTTAGCCCAGATTCTTCATTGTCATTAGCCGCTACCGAGACAATTCGACGCGTATTCAACCCTCTATCGCGCGAATTTTACCCAATTTCCCCGTAAAAAAATTATTCTCTATCTTCTCGCGCAAGACAACGAGACGATTTCCATTCCGGTATTTATTTTTCAAAAAAAATAGAACGAACGTGTGCTTCGCGCTTCGTCGACGATGAAAATCTTTACGATCGATGCAGCACTGAAAATAACAGCTAGCCAACCGTATTTCAAACTTCTGCTCACGAAGAGTCTCGGTACTATTGTATATTTTCGACTGTTTTGTACTCCGATAAAACTGTCTTCGAGCGCCTGTAACATCATCATCCTCGAATATCCGAGGAACAATTGTTTTCGAAACGTAAATATTGCGTTTGGCAAGCCTACTGGTCTTCGGCAGTGTATTATTCGAGTTGTCCGAGCGAACGATCATGTGTTTCTTTGTTAAAAGTAAACGATCTTCATTTTTCAGTCGCTTGGAGAATCATTAAATTTGTACGCTCGAAGGATCTAGGTTTGAAAGCTTGCATCCAATTTTTGAACGATTTCGGAGTTCTTTGGTTATGCGGCCACCAGGGTTCAACGTTTGTTTCGAATACGTATTTAATTGGAGGCGTTTTTATCTGCATTATTAACCTAACGCCCAAGTCGAAGCAAAAATAACTTATTTTTCTGTATTTCGTGAAATCTAATCTTTGGATATTTATTATTATCAGTCATTATTTTCTCAAAATTTCATTAATATCAGTAAGGGCTACGTCTTTGACTTCTGTCAAATATAACTATAATAATTAATTGCACTTTGGTTATGCGGTCACCAGGGTTCAACGTTAGAGTTCGAAGCGTTTGAATGATCCAGTGGCGATCGCATATAAATCTGTCGCGCGCGACGGTAATGATTCACGAACCGTACCAAAGACGATGCAACAACTTTCGTTGCTAGTTGGACGCTGCACGAATGCCAGCTTCGATTCGCGTTTTCTATGCCAAGTGCAGGAACCTCGAGAATCGTGTGCATCGAGTGCATCGACGCGCCCGCACGCATCTCCCGCGAGACGTTTCGATGACACGTGCCAAAAGCACACAAAGCGTTGTCACAGTCCCGTGAATAAGGTACTGTTCGGACATTTGTCATAATCTGTTAAATGTATTTCTATCAGGAGAATTGTAACCATTCGCCTGAAATCTAAAATTCATATATGCTTCGCAGAACGATATCCAAGGTATAGAATTTAATTTAAATTTTGTATTTAAACATTTTTGCAGCGTACAGATCGCACATGTTTTATACAGGTTATTTTTTTTGTAGATTGAA